GGTGGTAGTGGGAATGACGGGTGGAGGTGAGGGAAAGAGGATGAGAGATTGGAGGCGGAAGGCCAGGTAGACGACTGTTACAGTGGTCCAGATGAACAATCTGAGAGCCTAAACTTCAGTTATTGTGTAGAGCTCTCTGAGTGTGGTGCTCTTGCCACATTTCCCTGAGTAGCACGGCTCCTGAAATGCATTTCCTGTCTGGCTTCAAGTTCCTGGGGGTGAGTGAGCTAATTATTGAATAAAGGTTTAACGTCATTGCTCTCCTTGTCTAAAAAGTTGGTAGAATCTGCACAGCTGTCCAGTGATCCTTTCTTGGATTCAACACAAAGGAATTATAAGGGATCGTAGTATATCTGCATTTATTTTACTTACTGAGAACATGTGAGGTTTACCTGCTTACTCTGAGATAGTTTATACTCAGCTAAATTTTCAGAGGCATCTTGGGAAATTTTGTATTTGTTCATAGTCACATCACTATCACCTTCTCACAAAAGCAGAGATTCACAGAAGACTTGATTTTTCTATTTATTTCCATTAAGGAAAAATGTGTTTAATTATTTTCTTGCCTTTCTCCTCTGAAAAACAACGTGTTGCCTTAACTGCTCATGACATTGAAAATAGTTTGGGAGGGATGATGCTGATGGCAATATTACTGTCATACAGCTCTGCTTCCCCAGGAGGATTATAAGATGCTTTCAAACTACCAAAGAATGTGTATGCATATATAATTCAAACTTTTCTTTCTGTGATTTTATAAATAGCCACACAAATTCCATTTCTATCTGTTTAACACTTATGGAGTTTCTGTGAATAGAGAAGCCATTCTTTCTATATAAAATGCATCAAGAAAAAATCCCATTGTAAGTAAAACAGAATTATAATTGCCTAGCTAAAAACTCTAGAGAGCCCAGTCCATTGGGGACACTCCTTCATGCATTCAAGGTGATATACTCTTAAAATTACGGCCAAGAGAGTGAGATGACTTTATTTTATGAGGATTTCCCCCTTTCTTACCTGTACAATTGCTCTGCAACAGTTTAAAAAACAATTCATTCTCTGTGTGTATGGACTCTTGTGAGAGATAAGTCTACAGGTGAAGATCTACAGAATCACTCTGTTGTTTCGTACTCTCACAGGGTCAGTTTCCACCATGTCAATGCACTGGGGTGTTTGTAGTGGCTGTAGACGGGAGCTCACACACTAATCTTAATCAACGATAAGAAGGGTGAAGCCAAGTTACTCACCTGGGTGTATGCTATTAAATGGAGTGGATACTCCATTGTTTGCAGTGACCCCCTACAGCAGGCCATTCTAAAGGATGCCAATGGCTGATGCTTTCACCAGGACTACAGGAAGGAAAAGGACTGAAATCATGTTTGATCTGGATTCCGTGTCTGTAGCCAGTCTTGGAAGCAGGCACATCTTAGAATCCACCCTGCCACCTACTGAGTAAACCAATGAAATGTTGAATATAAAATACGTGGACATCAAGAATGGAATATAGATTATAGAATTTACAATGGGGGATTGGATCACTAGAGGAGCAATGAGAAGCAGTGAGAACTCATTCCCTAATTGTGAAGCTGACCATCACTGCTATGAACTGTCCCATTGAACCTTGATTCAAACCATTTACTACTGAAGATTGAATTTTAGGAGACTTGTTAGAAAAATATCAGGATGCTGGGGGGTTTGTGATTTTCTTATAGCTTTTATAATAAATGGTCACAAATTTTAGTCAAACCTGGACTGTTGGAAAGTTGAAAGAGAAGAAAATACAACCTTGTTAAGCGAGGCCTTTTTGGCCAGAGGGAAGCAATTTGAGATAGTTGAGGTTCAAAAATATATATCCTGCAAAATGGTTGGAAAAGCTAAATTTTCTGGCCCTAGCCAATCAACAAAAATGAAAACAGAGATGCAGGAAACTCAGTAATTAGTTTCCTATTACTGCTATAATGAGTCACCACAATTTTAGTGGCTTTAAAACAGCACAAATTTATTCTCATTCCAGTCCTGGAGGTTAGAAGTCTAAATCAAAGTGTCCGCAGGGCCGGGTTCCATTTGGAGGCTTCAGAGGAGAATCGGTTTCCCTGCCTTCTTCACCTTCTAGAGGCGGCTGGAGTTCGTGGGCTGAGAATCCCTTCCTTGGATCCCTACAACGTCTGGCTTCCCAGTCACGTATCCAACGACTCTCTTTGACCTTCTTGCTTCCGTCTTATCAGAGCCCTTGTGATCATCACATTGGATCTGCTCTGATATTCCAGGATACTCTCCCCATCTCAAGATCTTTAATTTAATCACATCTGCAAAGTTCCTTTCCCCATGTAAGGTAACAATTCACAGGTTTTGGGAATTAGAATGTGGACATCTTTGGGAGGTGGTCATCATTTAGCCTACCATACTCAGCTAGAGGTATTAGGGGACCCAGAGAAAGACTGGTCCCTAAGGTCCACCCAACTACCTCCTACTATGCACCTTCTGTGTGATCAAAAGAGGGAAATTCCCTATAACATTGTTTAAATCTTTGGATCCAAACAAGTACAAAGCCAACTACGGGTTTGCCAGTTAAATGATCTGTTGTTATAAATTTTAAGATTCTCTGAATTGAGTTTCTGTAATCTGCAGCTCAAATAGGCCTTATTTGTACACTTGCCCAAGGTCACAAAGGAGCAGGCTGAGGCCCTTGTCTTGACCACGGCCTACCTGGGTCACTGAATAAAAGGTGCATTTGTCCTCTGTTTGAAGGGGCCTCTTAATTGTTGGTTAGCTGTCTTCCTCCCACCCTCATATCTGCCCATCTTGGCCTCAGGGACCTACACGTGGCTCCTTTGTTCAGGGCCGCACTCTCCTCTAATCTTCACTAATTACCCAGCCTATTTCTTCCAGTACTTTTCTTTAAAATAGTGTAGTGACTTGCTGGGAGGCCAGCTTCCAGATTCTTATACCTTCCACAGGGTATAAGAAAGGCTTTGTCTTTAGAAAGGCAATAGATAATCCTGTCTTCTTTCTCCAAGGCTGGAAAGCATGCTTCTTATAAGATGCAGTTGAATTTTCAAACTCTGTTACATTGAATTCTTAAACTCACGAGCTACTAATAGACTTCACTTTAGGATCTTATATCACCACAATGGAAGCTGTTGTTCTTAGTTTCTGCATTCTCCCATCTGATTCCATTCAATATTTTCTCTTCAGTAGGCTCACCAGTTGAATTTCTTGGGAGGGCCCCTCCTAGCACTGTGCTCAGTAGCTGCAGCGTTATCTCTGGGGAAGGCCTTGATGCTGCCTCAGGCCCTCTGCTGGCCTCTCATGGCTACAACTATCTTTGTTGCCCAGGTGATTAATTCTGGATTTCGGTGGGATCTCTGGCTCAGGGAAACATCTGTACACAGGCCAGGAATGCCACTTAGCTTCATCTATACTGCCAACTCTGATTAGTAGGCTTACTAGCTGTGTGACCTTGACCAAGTTCCTTAATCTCACTGTGCTTATTTTTTCTAGTCTGTAAAATGGGGATAATAATAGCATCTGCCTCACAGGGCTGTTATGAAGATTAAATGTGTTATTATTTGTGAAGCAATTAGAACAGTACCTGGTGTGTGATAAGTGCTCTATGAATATTTGTTAAAGAAATTAAATACAAACAAACAAATAATTAGTGTGCTAGAGAAGAGCTGAGGATGATGAGGGAGAGAGTTTTGGGATCTATTAGAGATGTCTTCCAAGGACATGGGAGAAGGGGTACCAGAGTGCCGTGTATTTGTTGTCCCTGATATAAGGGGACGTCCCAGAGTCTAAGGGGCTCAGCTCTAGACACCATTTTAAAGGTGATACATTTATAATTACTCTCCAACCCCTGTTCTCCTTCCCTTTAGAGAAGATCTGAAATGTATTCTCTTGGGGATAAAATTTATTCTCATATGTGTGTATGTGTGTGTGTGTGTATATATATATATATATTTTTTTTTTTTTTTTGAGTACTACCTAGTTCAAGGCAGATCATGCTGGGGACACAGGTAAGCAAGTTAAAATGCCCCCTGCCCAGATGAAGCTTAGATTCTAGTTGGCGAAACAGACATTACACAGATAATTGTGCAATTACTTGTTAAATCCAACTGTGAAGGGTACTCTGAAAGGCAAATATAATGTGTAACAGAGTCCCATCCTAATCCTGTGGGCCAGGGAAAGTGTCGTTAAAGAAATATTTTAGCTTGAAAACTGGGAACTTAGAGGAGCTGGTTAGGCCAGGGGCTTGGCCTTGAGGAAGAGAAGAGCATTCCAAACAGAAGGAGCAGTGTGGGCAAAGGCTCTGGAACCGTTTTGTACTATGTGGGATCCAAAGAAGAAAATGAATTAATATCTGTGTTTAAAAAGGAAGGGGTGGTCAGTAGCAGATGTTTTACATAACTGCCCGTTTCCCCAAGGGCAGGCCATGTTGGGGCTGCCATTTTACCAGTGTCATGTAATATCAGTATGGAACCCAGAGAGGAATTCTACTGGGAGAAGAGAACATTTCATGGAGAAAATTATATTCGGGTTTTAAAGGATCAGTTGGGCTTCAGTAGACACAAATGAACTAGAGGATAAGAAGCTATAGACTAAATAAATTACAGTTGTAAAATTTTTGGTATTAGCCAGTCAGTAGAATTTGTTTGTTTGTTTTTCTTAGGTCCCTCCACTTGCCTCCTGAAAGCACACCGTGAAATCTGCTGCCAGAACCATTTAGAATAAAGTTGTCCTGTTCATAGATTTTTGATAAGCTGTTTTTATTCTCTAATAAATAAGAAATGTCGTCATTGTCCCCTACAAAATAACTGAGGTTTTACTTGAACAAAATCTGTTTGGAAATGTTAAGCTGGTTACACAGAACTAATATGCCTCAAGGTGGTCATTCTCTCTGGATTAAAGCTGTGGAACAATTGTGGCTCCTGTTACAAGGAAAATTACAATGGGCCATTATGAAAAGGGACAAAAATCTCTGTTCCCAGAGGGGGACTGACAAGCTGAAAGTCCCTCTCTACATGCCAACACAAAAGCCTGATTGCCTCAGATTGTTTGTTTATGTAAATCAAAAGGGTGCCTTTAATTCTGCAAGTGGGACTGCTAAGCAACAAAGGAGGTGGTGATTGGCTGGACTCTTGCTCATGGGCTACTGTCAAATCTGCCAAATCCTATTGCTTTTGCTCTAAGCTCTGTCTGGACACCTTAGGAAAAGAATCTGGTTATTATGTACCAAAGTGAATAGTTTGTACTCTTAGAGTAGGAGTTAGAACTATAGGACGTGAAGGCAAGAGAAGGTATCTTATCAAGGATCTGCCCGCTCAGTTTCCCCAAAGCTCCCTCCAGATCGGACTCAGCTGTTCGTCATGACAGATGCTCCAGTGACATTTATTCAGGCTGAGTGCAATGGGGGTAAACCACTTGAAAATGGTCAAAAACCAATCACTAAAATCAATGAGGAATTGACTGATGGGAGTGACATCCCATCACACTACAGGGTAGCACCTAGTCTTGAAGATTTACCCGCAGAAGGAAAGCAGAAGGAAAGTGGAAAATTACAAGGGAAACTGCAGCTCAATTGGTCCAGGGATGAGAAGATTCTAAAAGGTAACATATTTTCCTTCTTCTTAATTTGCTTGTTTTGACTTATAAACTCACTCAGGATTGTTTTTTTTTTTTAGATAAATTGTTATTTTAGGAATGAGCTGGACACCCAAACAATGTATGTGGCCCCATTTTCTACTAGGGCTGCATAGCATAAGGGCTAAATCTCTGCCTCTGGTCAAATCCAGGCTTGTATTTTTGATACATCTGTGACCCGACACAACTTGCTTTGTCTCCTTAAGCCTGAGGGTTTTTTTGTCAGAAGGCAGAATAATAGTATCTGCGTTTGTACGATTGTCACGGTGATTGCTAAGTGTTGGCTAAATGTTAATTACTGTCATTTATTATTATTATGAACAGCCCCACTATTATTTGAATAAAATAATTCAGAATTTTAAGATTTCCTTTTAAATATACCTGAAGAGGTCTGAATTTATGGTTCTATACTTTATATAACTATTAAAGGAGAGATTATCAATCAATAAATTAAGTAATCATTCAGTAAATAAATGGAGTCAGTAAAGAATGAATCTGAAGAGTCAAAGAGTAATTTTTAGTGACTATGTTTAAAATTACAGAAATATAGCTGGAGTCTAAATTGATAATATATTAACCCTTGAACTATATATATTTCACATGTTGAAATACTAATCTTGTATTTTTTCCCCAGAAAATCCAGAGGAGAACCTCTTTATTGTTCATAAGGCTATCACAGATCTTTCTCTCCAAGAAACAAGGGCTGATGAAATGGCATTCAGAGAAGGTAACAGGAACTACAGTTCTGTACATAGAAATTGTTTGACTGAATACGGATGACAGTTTTTGCATGGGATGTTGCATGAGTGTGGCATTAAAAAAGCAATCCAGGAAATGACTTCAAAATTTCAAAGCTGCTATAGGCAGATAAGAGAGTCTTGACTTATCTGTGGGTTCCACCTTATAAAGCATTCCAGACAGTTCAAAACTGAGACTGCATGGGTTGGTATAGCTGATTGGCATACCAATGTGATATCTGTCTCTTAATAAGTTAGTCCACTAAATCAACCTTTCTTTTTGATTTGGTGTTTCTAAATCTGTATGAGGCACCTTGTGAAATGTAAATGTTTCAAAACTAGGTTTATTCTAACAGTCTACAATTAACATACAGTTTAAAGTAATCTCATAAATTAATTTACTTTATAGGGAAATTCTAGCCCTCTGATATAAGTACAAAATGTTTAACTATTTCTTGTCAAAGAAAGCTCTCAGGATGGTAAAGTTAATTTTAATTGTGTTCTTTAAGAAAATGGGAAAATAAAAAGAACACTGAAGTGACTGTATTAAATAATTTCAAACAAACTCAATAGACTAAGAGACACAAAATCCATTAGACTTTTCTTCTACATTTAAGCACTTTCCAAATAAAGTGCAGGATAAAATCTATTAATTAATCATGCATTTCCTCTTCTTCTCTTGCAGCCATAAACATCCTATCTCAAAATTGAAGTCAGCTTGCTAGACATAACCAATTTAGCTTAGTTAGGACCTTAACAGGCAAACTGTTGAAGATACTATTGGTTGAAATATTAGAACATCACATAAAATAGTAGATGCCAAGGAGGACATGGATGTGATCGACGATTTCCTGTATTTGCTCCCTTTGCCAGGATACTTCTAGGACTGTCTGCTGACCAATGTATAGACACTTAAGGAAAAATGTAGCAAGCAATTTCCATTGTCAAGATATTATATTATCAGAGATAATTTATAAGACTTAAGATCCCACAATATGAATTTAATAACCTCTTTGCCCCAATCTTTCTGCTTCCAATGCAACAAGCTCTTAGAGGCAGGGATCTCATCTTTCTTGGAGAGTCCTTCAGATTTCTGATCAGGAGATCCATTGTAGACAACGGTTTTCTAGTATCTTTCATTTTGATCAAATGGAGAATGAAAGCAGTATGTATTTTTAAACTAGATGGTCTCACTGGTTAATTTTTCCCTGAGTGAATCCTTTCATGTTTGATGGAGCATATGTTTTTCCTCTATTATAGACAGGCACAGCTTTTGGTGTCTTTTATTTTCACAATGGCAAATAACTATAAGATCTTCAAAGAGAATGATCCTAGATTGAAAAATATAAAGATGCTAAAAATACTGGCCGGGCACGGTGGCTCACGCCTGTAATCCTAGCTCTCTGGGAGGCCGAGGCGGGCGGATTGTTTGAGCTCGGGAGTATGAGACCAGCCTGAGCAAGAGCAAGACCCCGCCTCTACTAAAATTAGAAAGAAATTAATTGGACAACTAAAAATACATAAAAAAAAAAATTAGCCGGGCATGGTGGCACATGCCTGTAGTCCCAGCTACTCGGGAGGCTGAGGCAGGAGGATCGCTTGAGCCCAGGAGTTTGAGGTTGCTGTGAGCTAGGCTGATGCCATGGCACTCTAGCCTGGGCAACACACTGAGACTCTGTCTCAAAAAAAAAAAAGAAATACTGAGGAAAAACTATAATTTAAATTGAAGGAGTCATTTCATGTATGACAATCCCCTGTCTGAATCATAAATATAGACAAAAAGATCAAATTTCTTTTGTTCATGTAGAAAACAAAACAAAGCTTAAGATTACAAACTACACATTATAATGTGTATTTATGTATAATGTAAAGAACATTGACTGGCTACTAACCACCTGCTAGCAGTTGTACATAACTAGTTAGGAGTGATAATCCACTTTTACTTCTGTCTCTCCCTGTAAGTTTGCAATCTGATCCCTAGAGTGAAACAGCAAAACAAAATAGACAAATAAAAAAAATGAAAAGAGAACTAAAAATATTGGAAGAAAATGGACTTGTGAACATCTTCCAGAGTAGAACACTGTGGAGAGGAAGAACAAAGAGGAGAGAGGAACATTGCCTCTCACCTTATATATAGACTCTTATACTGTCAAAAGAAAACAGTGAACCCAGGTCTGCCAAGGGACATAACCCAGACAACATTTCAGTCATGCACACTACAGACTGAAACCTCCCATAGAAGCCCTTGTAGGGGTGAAAGCTCAGAGAACAACCTCTTATCCCTTATGGTTAATTCTTAGCATGCTCAATAAATGTTGTTGAGGGTATGCTTGTATGATCTAGCTGTTTGAAAAGTGATCATTGCAGTGAATTAAGCCTTTTGAAAGTCACTACATAGTACCAAATAACTAGAGTCAATTAGTTGTTATTAGAAACATGTCTAATGTAAACAACAGGCTAACTGAGCATTATGTAGGTATGACCACAACAGAATTTTTAAATCTTGGCTTTTTAGAAATTAATGGCAGATATTAGACCATATTGTGCATACTTTGGTGGGCTTAGTTAGGCCAGCACATGAGTCCTGACCATCTGTGGGCTCCTGTGCCTCCTGCTATACTTGGTTATTTTAGGTCAACCCTGAGAAACTTGGTATCAAGTGTTGAGTATGCTACTCTGAATGTGACCAGACATGGGCAGTCATCATTTTTACCGTTGGAAGAAAGCCCTTTTTTCCCCCCTGAGGTATTCTTCTAATTTTCCTTGAGGGGTGTGTGAGTGTGTGTGTGTCTGTGAAATAGGTTCAAACATTTTATTTTACATATTCACATATCCAGTTGTGACAGGATTTTAAAATGTGTGTCTCGGGGAATAGCGGTCTCACTAAATACAGTACTCCGTAACAGTAGAATTCCATAGTCAAATGAGGTTGGGTCGCTGAGTTTTCTGGAGATTTCGAGTATCATTAATATTTTAAAGTCTTTGATAATTCTGAAGAAGTTTATTTAATTGCATTTAATGCAGTATTTTCCAAACTAATTTGTGTAGCCCATTTGATTGTGCAAAACATATTAGTAACCCACAGAATTAGATTCCATAAAACACCTATTAGGAAGTGATTGTCAAGAAAAATAATTTGGAGAATAAAAGGGTATTTTTGAACCTTTCTACATCTCAACTACCAATTGATTTCGCTACAGGGCATCAGTGGGAGAAGATGCCTCGGAGCAGTAGCAAGCAGGAAACAAGCAGACAGAAACAAAGGATTGCAGAACAACCTCTAGAAGAGAGAGAGGAAGAAGACAGAAAGAACGAAGCTTACCAGACAACTGAAATTGAATGGTTGGGATTTCGGAAACCTAGTCAAGTTGGCATGTTGCATTCTAAAGAGGAGGAGGAGCAAGAGGTTTGGGATAAAGAAATGAATAATGATGATGATGATGATTGCCATGATGATGAAGATGAAGTTCGAGTGATAGAATTTAAGAAAAAACATGAAGAGAGTTCTCAATTTAAAGAAGAAGATGAGGCAAGCGAGGACTCCCCACTGAGCAGCGCCAGTTCCCAGCTGACACCTGATGAGCAGCCAACCTTGGGAAAGAAGAGCGATATCTCCAGGAATGCTTATTCACGTTACAACACGATATCCTACCGGAAGATCAGGAAGGGGAACACCAAGCAAAGAATTGATGAATTCGAGTCTATGATGCATTTATAAACTAACTGGAACTGAGAAATTCTCACCCCCACTAAAGCAAAAGCTAATTCTATTGCCCTGATATGCATATTTGTATGCCTTCTTTGAATTACCCTCTTGAGAGCTGTGGAAGCTTACTCTCTTTTTTACTGTAGAATAAGGAGGAAATAACCCCAGACATTCTGTCTGGTAACCTCAAATCAAAAAGCTTTAGATTCATTCTTGGGCATGTGCTTTTAAAAATTTTGCTAATATAGCATTGTGTGATAAGCACGGAGCAGTCAGTCTCACTGGGTAACCTGGCATGATTTAGCTTTAAAAGTAGCATTGCTGGGAAAGGTAGTTATCACATGAATGAGGTGACTTTGTGAAATGATTTCTATGTTTCTTCTAGTGTCTTTCTTCCTGTACATTGGGGTGTTGGAGAGTCTGGAATTAAAACTCTCTTACTTTTAAACATGATTTTACAGACTCTGGCAGTAAACCTTCCAGAATTCTTTACTTTGCCTATTATCATCAGAAAAGATTTTAAGTGGTTTTCTTTGGCATCTACAGAGTGAAAATTCTACAGGCCTTCTTCCTAGCTACGACCACTCACGGAATCTTCTTGCCAGAGGGGCTGAGCAATTGTAAGTCAGGAGAATTCTGTTTGCTAAACGTTGGCTTTATGCTTTCAAACTGAATTAAACCCATTGTGAGGTGGATACAGGGAGGGGCTGGAAGATTGGTGGGCAACAGACTAAAGAGTTTTATTGGATAGTTTTATTTCTGTGACTGAAAATAAAATCTTGTCTAGCACAGTAAAAGTCATTAAAAATAAAAATGACAGCTTTAGCACAATTTTAAGAAAATGCCCCTCTTTATTACCACACTTTCTCTTATTAACAGTATCTCAGAATAATTTTCTTTCCTTAGAAACCTGAGACAACGCTAGTCATAACTGTACTAGTTACTATGAAAATGGAAATAATTATCTTAGAATATTTTCAAAGTAGAGCGTGAGCATGTATTTTTAGTGAGAAAGCTCTGATAGTTGTTGGGAATATATAATTTACTGGACCTCAGCCCAAATCAAGATGCTTAAAATTGTACTTGTGGAGTTTCACTCAAACCAATGTGTCAAATAATGTATTGAATATTTATGAAAAGAGAGTCTATATTTATATTCTTAGATAGTTTGTTCCACAATTTTTCATTTCATGCTTCCGTATATATTACCCTGAACTTTCTGTCACCACAAAGATTTTTTTTGGCCCTGCAAATAAAAAGACAATTCCTTATTGTCTGAATGTAATACAGTCTTCATTGTACTATTCAATCCTTTGTTTATTTCTTTTTCATTTTGTCAAAAATCCTGGGTTAGTCCTTCTTAGATTATTGCTTATTTATGTGTAACAAATCCCACACATTCTAATAACAACTTCTTTAATTCTTCCTGGTCATATATTTCCATAGCATCATATACTATTATTTAGTATTTACAAGATTCAATTTTGAATTCAGAATTAAAGTATTCCTTTTATGCTTTCAAGAAAATACAGCCTGGCCATATAACAGTTCTGTTACCCTTAATCTATAGAACCTATAGATTTCATTTGTGACAGTGTGAGTTTTCAGAATAAAGTAAGGAAAATCAGGTCTTTATTGGGAAAGTTAGGTGGAAGATTGAGGCACTAGGAAAATTTCCTGTTTAACTTAGAGCCTGTGAATCTTCTCACCAGGACAACATATTTTTCTTTTCTGAATTACTGGTGACTCCTGCAATTTTCTACTTAACTTCAAAGTCCAGTATTGTGTTATCTATCATGTAACAGGATCATATTGTTTAGCAACTTTCAAAAGAGCTTGTGCTTTGAGTTATTCAACAAAAGTGATGAATTCCTGTAGAACTTGAGTGAGGTGAGTGGCCTGTGGCTATGAAGCATGGTAAAGCAACCGTCTCTTACGGGGGCTGTAATATGTATAGTAACTCTGTTCTATTTAATTTTGTTCTCTCACCAGACAATTAAGTAGGAAAGATTTTGTCAACAGAGACTATTTTAGGGTATCTTAAATTGGTAAATGCTTCGTATTCATGGATGAGGCAATGCAGTTCCAAAAGAGCACTGAGATTATTCTTGGGCATTGGTGTCCCTTGTCCTATACTGCCATCTTTCCCAAGGCCACAGAGTTAAGTGACCTTAAGTAATATGATGGTGATGGTTAATCATTTGAGTCTTTGTAAGGTAGGAAAGACAAGGGTCTGATTCAGATTGCATGGGGGATATTTAACATATTTGAAACTTACACGGAACATGATTAAGAACAAAAACTGGTAACCACATACGAAGGTTTATCTGAGTTTTTGTGATTCAAGGTTCAGGGGTGGTGAGGACTCTGGTACCTGGTAGGAGGGAGAAATAATTTATTGCACAAATGCCGATATTTGTTACATGACTTTTTGTTTTCCTTCGTTGCTGAACAGGAATTAATAATAGCTCTATTGCTCTGACAATATAAAATTTACCTTTCATATAATGCTATATTTGAAAACACAGATTTTTGCCAGAATTTTTCTGTCTTTCTATCTATCTGCAATTTAAATAAAGAACTGCTGTGTCTGCTTTTCTCTCAATAAAAGTTTATGTCTTTATTTCTGGTTTCCAGACTTCATTTTTTTTCAGCTGCCTTTTAAAATTTAGAAAGAACTCTTGTATGTCAGCAGCTACTAAGACCATCAATAACTGCCTCTTCAGAAATCAAGAGAACATCTTATTTTAATTCATTCGCATTATTTATTTCAAAAAGGTCTTAAAATGATTGTACATAAAATTACAAAAAGCATTTCTGGTAGGTAGATATATAATGTACATGGAAAATTTCTATTATTTTTAAAGGAACTGAAATATTGTTTTAGATGCATCTCAACACCAACAACTTGAAAAAAATCTTTGTAGTCATTAAGGTAATACATTTAAACTACACTGACAATTTTACAGTAATTGTTTCCCATATTTATATGGGGTAGTTCTCTTGGTGTATTTACCAATGGAGAATGGACATTTAATTTTTCAAAGTGATAGGGAAAACATTTAAAATAAGTAATAATAGAGAATTATGGAAAAGGATGAAATACCAGAGTATCATAAAGAAGAAATATGTTTAACCATATGAGAAAGGCAACAACTTCTCATAAAGCCTGAACTTCCATTGCTCTATAAAAAAAAGAGGATTGTAAAAAGTAATGCCAAAATTATATTTGCCAATATTAAAATATCAGACAGTACCATAATGCAATAACTACAAAGACCAAGATGTGTATACAGCTCATGAAGAACACGGGATGACTGACCCACACAATCAACACAAACACAATGACATGGGTAGCAACAAGCAGCTAAACTCACCCAGATACGTGGCAAACTACAAAATCAAATGATGACATCTAGTAACTAACTGCCAGCTCAGGGGAATTTTGGAAATGAATTTGTAACGTAATTTAGATTTTTACCTAGAAATTTAAAGTTACATGTTTGATTCCTTCTTTATAATAACTTCAGTTGTTCAGAAGCAGAAAAAAATGTGTACTTAAAAATATTTAACTCCAAAATCCTTTATGCACCGTAGTTTTAATCTTGTTCTCCCATTAACAAATGTTTTCAGGTAATCGGTAACAAAATCCACTAACTTGATCTTTGGCTTTTCTTGTTTTTAAGTTAATATGTATAAAACTAGCAAATTTGGGCAGGTATTTGAAGAAGATTAAGATGTGCATAATCCTAAACTGAATAACAAGCACCTTGATAATTCAGAGTGATTAAAACTGCTTTAAGTCTGGAAAACAGTATGCAGAGTGAAAGTCCACTTGAGATACTTTTGTGTAGAAAACTAGAGGCAAACAAAGCTATACACTTAAAAGAACATCAAAAATATCCAAAAGCATTTACAATTTTCTTTATGTTGCAAGTAGAAACTTTTGGCATTT